TTTAGATACATCGGATGCACACAGGCTGGATTGCAAACCTGGGTCATTAGAAGTTCAAACAGCCTGGTTCACAGCAGGACCTGTGAAAGCCAGACAGTTTTGTCTAATCCTTATAGAAGGGGTAAGAGGGGAAAGAGGTAGCTAAGCTATGTGACAGCCAACGATCTATTAAATGAAGTGTTAAGAAAAGGGCTTAAGAGGAAGAACTATAAAAACTGTGTATGGAATGCAATGGAAGCTGGCTGCAGAGGAGACCAAAATGTCAGCCTGAGAACTACCATAAAGGCTGATAAGAAATCTGTGGTGGCATGGTATATGGCATATATTAACTACCCTAGTATTGATCCAGCCTCTCAGACAAGTTTTGTGTACCAGGGAAGGCCCCACATTGTCATGACTAGAACCCAAGTTATCTTGATTAGACATCCCAGAGTTTTCCATATTTGCTATGGTAAAGATACAGCAAGTAACTGCTGTGCAGATAATAATTGCTGAGGCTTTAACTCTTCTGTGGCTTCTGTTACAGCCTGAACCCCACAATCTCTTAGAAAAAGATCCCTGCTTCCAGAGCAACCAAATGTAGGCTGAGTCCCACCTTCCTCTGCAAGAAATACATGGCTCTACTGCAACAGGATGCTCTGTAAAAAATAGTCAAAATTTTATGCCCTTGACAGCTGTTTAGGTGACCTGTGGTAGTTCTTCACTGAGATATGCAGCCCTTCCTGGGTAGGGTATATATTTAGAATATAACTCAACAGGTCACCATTGTGATGAATTTATACTGTATGCCTGAGCTGACCTAAGTTTAACAAAAGGAAGACTACCCTCATCTTTCTGTGCAGGCCTACAGTTCTGCCTTTCTTTGCGCTGGCTTTGGTGCTTGTCTAACTCTGCGCAGAGCTAATCCAGCTCATTAACCCCAAAAGAAAACTACTGACTTTTCTAGCAAATTAATTTATTGCTGATGGGGCAAAAAGCCGAGGGCTTGAGTTGGATGCAGGACCTTCCCTTTCAACAGCAACAAGAAAGGATCACCTCAAGCTGTAACAGTTAACTCTGCGCATGGGCTAATATACCCCTCTACTTGGCCCAATGTGCAAAATGGAGTTCTTATTACAATATTCCATTCTCAGTTTTGTACAGACACATCCCACCTTCTCACAGCTTCTTCATTAAGAAATCTGCTCTCTGAGCACGCATAAAAGATCTCATTTTTATGGTAAATACTTCTATCCTTTACTTGTGAAGGAAAAAATAAAAGGAGAATGTATTAATATTACATGAGGATGATTAATTATTTTACTATCCATTGACACCTATGGAGGATGAAAATGGCACTGCTGTTTTTCAATCAGCAGTCTCTGTGGCACCTGAGTATCCAAAGACCCTAAAATAATAGGAGACTTCCAGCCTTCTAATGTTAATTTTAACAGCTCTCTGTATAGCTACAAATTCAAAGGGCCAAAGGAAATCTCATGGTATTCCAAGAATCAAGCAGAATGACCAAGGTAAGAGCAGACCTGGCATCCTAAGTAATACTAGACAAAACAGTGATGTTATGTGAATTAAAGCAGTCATGCTATGTGTGATTCAATCAATAGAGAGTTAAAGGGTAGGAATATAATGAAAGCAAGTCCACATGGCTTTATGGAAACAAGTCTTGACAAGCAGGCCTGACTTCACTTTTTGATGAGATTACAGGTTTGTTTGATCAAGGTAACCACATGGATGTGATAGACTTGGACCTTCCTAATGAATTTGATTTAGTACTGCTTGACATTTTGATTAAAACATTAGCATTATATAGCCTTAATAAAACACATTAAATAGATTAAGATCTGGCTAATTGATAGAGTTCAGCAAGCTGTTCTAACCAGATACTCAGCACTGACTGGGGATATTTTTAGTGGGGCTCTGCAGGCAGGAACACGACGCTTGCTGCCATTTGATGTTCTGGAATTACACAGAAATGTGGATAATATTGGCAAATGTCCTGAAGGCTAATGAGGAATGGGCAGCTATGGAAAGTCACAGTTTTTCCTGCACCGGCATAGATGTGTTCCTGGTATTTGATTACATCCTTCCTCTTCAGTTCTGCAGAAACACAGAGGTCCTCTTACAGGGTAGAGTTGCAAGGCTGTGGTCTAGTCAGCTGCTGCTGGACACACAGTGATTTCTCTCAAGGGTCATTGATTTTAACTACTAATTCATGTATTATCAAAAGGAGTAGTAGATGAATCATTTAAAAAGTGTGAACTGTGAAACCACCACTTACTACACACTTCCACTTGTCTTTATTTAAACTTCCACCAATATAAACCTGAGATTAAAATATGTTTGCAGCGTTACAAAGTCAGGGAATTCTAGCCCATTGGCTGAAGCAGAATTTGCTATCAAAAAATAAAACAAGAAATCCAGATGAGGTAAGCAAAAATACCCAAAAGAGATCTGACCAGAACATTAATGATCATATTAATTGTCATATTAATTGTCATATACAAAGCATACACAGGCTATACCACTATCACTTTCTGGTCAGCTGATCTAAGCACATCTTTTGTGATTCTCCATTTTCTTGGTCAGCTCTTGAATCAGACCAAGGTTAGATAATGCTGAATGAATATTAGGCTTCTTTGCTAGTTTTGATTCTGACCAATCCTTTTATATTATTTCATGTAGTCACAAGCTTACCTAAGCAAAAATCAAAACGAGCATTCATACTAATCTTGATGATGTAGACTGTTAAAAATGTCCGCAGCACAATCTTGCTAGGAAACTGTTGCACTTTTAACATTTGATTTCTGTTTCACCTTGCAGAACAAGATGACTGATAAATGTAAAAGATACTATCCAGAAGAAAACACTGCAGAATATACCCTCTCCCCTTACTATCTAAAATACAGATTCAGATACATATATCCCACCGTGCATTGAGATGTCTTATTTAATTTGTTATACATCAATTTAACATCTAAAATCTTTCCACATTTTCATCATTTTACAAACCTATTATTAAAACTCTTGGTGTCAAAACTATGTAACCTTAGAAGTGTCCCACTAAACATCAGTACCATCTAAACAATGCAAAACAGCACTGAATGCCTGACCTGTCTACTGATTTTTTTTTTCTACTAAACAAAAAGCAAACGTATTTTTCTGTGTCAAAACCAAATTGTTCATTTTTTTAGAATTATCATTACAACAAAACTCCTCACCAGCTAGGCCATTCAATGGGACACCTTCTGTGCATGTCATTGCTACTACTGAGTTTTTCTAAGCATGTCCTGCACTGTCCTGTCTCCCTTTGCACCTCCCCACAATTATCACTTCCATTGTTCTGCCGTTCTTCTGCATTTGTGTTCACCTTGGAGAAAAATTTTCAAAAGGGACCTACATGCCTTACATATACAAGTAGTCAGCTGAAGTACTTTTCTCAGTTGGTACTTTTAAACAGGATTGCTCAGTGTTTTGTTGAGCAGTATCTGTTTTTGTTTGGTTTTGGTTTTGTGGTTTTTTTTTTTTTTTCTACAAGTCTGTTTTCCTAACAGCACACTGGCAGTATGAGGATCCTTGCCCTTTTGGATACCCTGAGGTAATATCTAATCATCAATATCCAGCTCTTCATGCCAATTCTCTGAAAGACAAATGTTGTTGGTATTCCAAAACTGTATGCATCTTATCCCACGTGTGAAGGCTTTTTAACATTATTTTAATTTCGGTCTTTCCTTTTCTTCACTTAAAACTAACCATCTTATCGCTGTCTTCCCTAGAACTGTGAGAGCATTACATTGTCAGATTTTCTTCCTCTAGCACCCCCTGACTCCCTGTCTATTCCCTTTTTTTTGCAAGTCTGTCTGTGACATTTTCTTCATCCTAATTATTTCATTTTTAACCTTATCTTTCCCTTTCCTATTTACAATCCATGTTGCTATCTTTCTTTTGGGTTTTGTTAGCTCTTTTTCCCACTTGCATTGCCTGTGGTGAACATAATAGCAGTAGGACATGATATTCGTCAAATATCTTCAATTGGGGTTTGACTTTTCCTTATTCTCCAACCCTCTGCAAATCTTTACAGATTTGCTTACTCAGTTCCATCCTCTTTTTCATTTCTGTCTCATAGCCATAGTCCTCACATATTTTGTTTCCCAAAGTTCTGTTCCTTTTTTTCTGGCTGCAGAAAACTACCAACCTTTCCAGTTTCATCAGCAATGTATCCATTATTTTTCATGAGGACATAAGTGGAGCTAAAGTTACTCTTTGAACTTCACTGGAATAATTTCATCATTCAGTTGGGGAGAACCTGCGAACACACAGAGATGAGCTGGAGTGGGAAAAAAAATAATGTATGGAGTTCAGTGTAAGAAGCTGAAATAAACCTTGCTTCACAGAGCTGTAAGATTTACAAAAAATAGATTAGGTAGTAAGAGTGGGTATCAGAACTATACTAAGTGCTGCTGGAGAATCTAGAAAATGAGGTGGCCAACGTGCATCACTTGTATGTTTTTATTATACAAGAAGAGGTGCTATATATTTAGGACTGTACAGAACAAGTTTGGTCCTTACACCATTTTAGTCAGTTCCAGCTTCACAAGCATGTTGACGGCGCTGTGCCGTGAGTGACTTTCAATTGCTACCTCATTTATTTCCGACCTGAATAACCTTTTGACAGCGTCTGGCGCACAGTAGAGCGCTTCTTGGGCTGCATCGCGCTTCAGAGGCCGGAGCGCCGCCCCACGCAACTTCCACGACTTTGGGGCAAGCCTCGGAGCACCGCCGACCCTCCACGCGCCTTGCAAGGGCAACCGGGGGTTATGTTGTTCCTCTCGGGAAGCAAACCGGGAGGATTTGTGGCGGAGGTGCCGGGGGTATCAGCAGATGGGCTGGACGCCGACCGGCACAGCGCCCCGGCAGGAAGCGGGCGGCTCGGGGCCTC